GGCGGCCGCCTAATTAGAGAGCCGCCTCTGCCAATCACGTAAATGGGGTGAATGTTTTCTACTTCGCTCCACAAAGCTAATGGAAGGGACAAGCACGCTGGTCTAGAGTGAGTCTGCCTCCCCTCCTTCTCAGTGAGCTGTACTACATATAACTCATTGAAAAACACACAAAGCCTCGATATCATATGCACTTGCAGCTCCAGCAAAGAGCCTTCTCTCTGACTAGTAAAATTCCTAGGCCAGACAAAGTCTGTGCCAAAAAGAGGGGAGCGGCTTGCAAATGCTGCAGGTCTGTAGCTTTTGGAAGCTATTTTTTCATATGCTCCTATGGAATTATGCATAATACGAAAATACATGTATGGGTGGGGGAAGAGTATAGAATAGGTATTATTTTTATTTATTATTCTAATCAGTTAAGTGTTAACTATTCTTCCTTAGTACAGGGGGAAAGGGTGCGTCTTGTCAGTGGTGTTCTCATGCATTACAAATGTGTAAGGACAGGGCAATTTTTTCCCCAGCCACTTATATAAACAAATAGAACAAAAATAGTTGAGCGAATAATGGGCATCTAGACAAAACGTGTGCTACGGTCTTATTATAGACACCCAAAGTGTTTATACAGAAACAGTCATTAATAGCCACTTAACATTTGGAACGGCTGCAAAAGGCATAAAATCGTATATACAGCTTCTTCTAAGGAAGGCGGCTAACGGATACACATGTGGAGTATGTTGATTGAACTCCTTTATAGCACCGGAGCCCTTCCAGCAGCCGGCAAAAAGAAATGCCAAACAATGTAAACATAAAGAAGTGCCACATTTAGGCCACAGACAAATAGAAATAGACAAGTAAATTTGTAATTAGGAATATGTATTTTAACACGCAGAGTGCATACAGTTTTATATGAAGGCACAGAAATGTGGTGGATGGTGTTCTATGCTTCTTTCCCAACATAACACGAGCCCTGATACCGCCATCGCAGGCCTATACAGAGGCAAAGGGACCCTGGAAACTCTAGGTTTACTTCTATGTCCACGCTACGATTAATATATTTTTTGTTTAAACAAATTCCTTAAATATAACTTTTGCAGTTTTAGAAATAGAATTACTTTTGAAATCCAAAATATTGACACCTTAAATTACAATAGATGTCTTTCAGTAGCATTACCTACTATCAAAGATTGTACCATACCATGCCAAAATGCTTAGAATTTCACTTAAGCATGTGAATAAGAAGACAATAAAAGGAAGGAAATAGAAGCAGATAAAGCATGGCAGAGAGTGGATGGGCTGTGGATCCAAGGGAAGCATGATCCATTACAAACGCAGCCGAATACGATATTTGGTGTCCAAGGTGACCAGGTCTTGTGGAGGACAAGTCATGTTTAATGGTAAAACTTCCTTATAAACTGTAGTAATGCATGCTCAGACACATTAGTAACTTGAGTTTTTAAGTAGGTTTGGACTATTATTGCTCCTTAAGAAAGAAGTAAAATAATCAGCAGGGCATTATTCCTTTGTCTGATTTTACAGAGGAAGCACACTTCCTGCATATGGGAAAACATATTGACGTTGGCAATGTATTAAACAAAAACATAGGAACTCTGCTAAGACACGAAGCAGAAGATTACTACTTTACCTGCCTGTAATAATAATTCCATAAAAGGTTTCTTTTTTATTTAGGTTATTTTATGTTTTTGCTTTTTGTCAAACAGTTCAATGCAATAAATAACAAGGGAGTAGCAGGGTATTACCAAACGGTAGTGGTAGAAAAACAATATGTGGTCGTACATCATCCTCTCCTAAGCTATTGTTATATTTCTTATAAAAAGGGAAAATGATAGGCCCCAACATATTTATTTTTTTGTTAAAATGAAAGAGTTTGCATTAATTGTCAGCATGGCCAGCTTTAACAAAGCACAAATATAGTTGCCTATAGCCCAGACACCTCTCAGAGGCCTAGCCCGAACCACCAAACTTGAGAGGAAATCGATTTTCTCCCAAAGATAACCTGGGGGGGGGTCACCATTATAATGGACATGGTGGCCAGGAACAACCTATAGTGTATCACTACTCTGCTGCCTCATGTTTAAAAACGGTTTTGAAATATAGTTCTGAGCTGCTGGTCAGTGGTGTGTTTTGCAACAGTTATCAACCGTAAGCACGTATAGTTTTCAAAATACAATCCAGGCCTCACTAATATTTCAGCTGATGTTGACATTCACGTACGGAAGCACAAGGACATCGTAAGCTTTTTTCTCGTTTAGTGGGGTATGAGGCCTATAAAGTGCAGCTGCCTGACATTAAATCTAGACTGAAGGATCGGGGAGAACAATGGAATATGCATACCTCCCAACATTTCAAATGGACGAAGAGGAACACTAATTTTAGTGTTGTGAGTGGGTATGTGGCCAGGGACAGTGATGTACTGAGAAATTGTTTGGTTTAATAATAATAAAAAAAGTCCCTTAAAATATAATTTAGAAAAAAACAACAATGTATCATATTAACACAGACTGATTTCTAAACACATGTATTTGTAGTTTAAAATACATTACTGGGAGTATTCTTGCTGTGGAACTCTGATATTCAATCACCAATATGGAGCTTCTAAAAATAATAAGGACACTATGATAGAAAAGAGGGTCATTAGGGTAGAAAAGAGGGACCAAGGTATTTGAGCCCAAAATAGGGACTGTCCCTCCTAAATTGGGAAACTTGGGAGGGTGCATATAGTTTCCTTACTGCAGGGGTTCTCAACCCAGTCCTCAGGACCCCCTACCAGTCCAGGATTTGGGGATTACCTGGGTGTGTCTCAGGTGTTTAGAAAAAGGGGAAAAAACACCTTAGACTCTGGGTCCTGAGGACTAACGTTGAGAACCCCTGCCTTACTAGAACCTCTCAACAAAATTATTACCCCAAGTTAGAATGACTTGCAGGGCATGTGGAAAACAGAAAAATTGAGGGAAAACTAAAAGATTTGCATAAATAATTTGACCATGAATTGGTGATACACATATTGTTATTCAGTTGGTAGGCAATAGTCAATTTAAAAAAAATTCCATCAATAGTGTTTTCTGGAAATATTAATCTATAAATTATCCAAACTAAACATGCAAACATTAGTAGGTCAGTGTTTGTTTCAGCAATAGAGTTAATTCCAGTGACGGTTGCATGGCCAAAGCACTGAAATCAATACAAATCATTGTAGTCGTAATGATGGAAACATGTGGGTAACATTGCAGGGTTATATAATTTTTATTTTTTTATTACTTTGACAAATAAGTTGCACTCCTGTCACCCACAGCCTATCCCCTCTTTCCTGCCACTCTGCTACCGCTGAAGGAGGGGGGCTTGGCTAAGATGGACGGTTAAATGCAAAAATTCACTTCTGTATTAGCCAAGTAGCAGCAGAGTGGCTTTGTCAGTAGGCACTGGTAGAGTGAAAACTTCACAAACTAAAGGATGATGCCTAATAACTTACTATACCATAATCTTTTTCTACTTCTATGTACATGTCTCCTGTTGCTTCACTATATTTGTAACAAATCTGAATACATGACAAACCATTTGAAAGAGTTTCGTGGTCTAACCACATGTAATTGTCATTTTATTTTTAAATAGATTACGTTTATACTTCCCCTTGCTGATCCAAACATTACACAAAGCCCCACTTCCTGCAACTGGTGCATTCACAGTAAATCAGAGACATGGGGAGACGCTAGCCTGGTGTGTCAATTTAAACCCCTTACACATTCTTTGCGTTTGAATCATAGGTTGCGTGAAAACACACACACATACGATGGGCTTGTGTAGTAGGACAGAAAGATTTTCATCTATAAAGCAAAACAGAGCACGTCCCAAATACCAGCAGTCCTGCTTATTGCCAAAGTGTGTCAAACAATTAAATATCGTGGAGATGTAGGAATAAAATGACATCAAATGTAAACATCCACATACCAGTGAAGATTTCAGATACTGCTGAATTCTCTTGTGCATGAGTAACATGTTACTTTCAATGGAGGTGTCCTGGTTAATTGTATTTACAACAAACAGTATGGATTACCAAAAATCCCTGAAGTTACGGAATCTCTCAGGATGTACGTATTGTCCATTTTATGGAAATCTATGGGAGAAACAACTCAGAATGTCTGTTATGAAATGCATTCACTGATTCATTGATTACGGCTTCAGAGTTCTTGATTTTTGAATCCTACAGTTGACACTGTAATCTTAAAAGAATATCTTCCTGATTAAAAGGTAACAGTCACTTCTCTGGAATTTGCATAATTGAATAAGACATAGGTAATCATCTATAACTTATATCAATCTTTTTCTTTTTTAATAAGACGCTTCCTTTTATTTTAAATTTTGATGGAAGATTTAGCAAAAACTAGGCAAAACCAGGGCACACATTGCAAATCAAGAGAAGAAAGATTAGCAATGCAATGTTTTGTTCATACCCGTCATCTGTACACTCTGTACCTTACTCGGTCATTCATTTCATTTTAAACAAAAACAAAAAACCTTCAATAAACAGATTGTCAAAAAAAGAAATAAAAGAAGAAATAAAAACATTGCTTCATTTCTTCTTCTCTCTGTGTGCTTTTCCCATGCCAACTTCTAGGTACAAAGGACAGAGCTTATAACAATGCTGGACAGGGAGCTAAAATGGAGGCATCCAGGTGCAGGAAAAAGGGGTGTGGATTTCTACGTGTCATTTTATTTTTACATCTTACAAATAAATAATTGTTAAATACAGAGATAAGTAAACATAACATTAAAAATCCTGGGAAATGTAACTTCCCCTTTAAGATGCTTGGCCATCCACACTCGCTATAGCAAGACTGTCCAACCAGTACATTGTAATATAAAAATGTATTATAAAGCTGCACATAAGTTTGGCAGATGGTCCCAAGGCATCAACAGGCATCTGCAATTCATTTGCGCTCATGATCATCATATAGGTCAGGGGTAGGCAATCTTCATCACTCCAGATGTTGTGGACTACATCTCCTCTGATGCTTTGCCTTATGGTCTTACAGCCATAAGGCAAAGCCTCAGGGGAGATGTAGTCCACAACATCTCAAGTGCTGAAGATGGCCTACCCATGATATGGGTGCTCAATGATACCTACTCCCACACAGTTCTGTTTGAGCTGAGAGAAGAGCCTGTTGATGAAGTGTGCTCATATTAAGTCACATTCCTGCAACCTCCATCACTAGGCCCTCCCAAATGTGACTGCTGTAGATTGTGAGATAAGATTGAGAAGAACATGTCACCAAGACATCTGGAATTGCAACTGAGCAAAAATATGGCTGTCATAGCTTAAGGGAACCATCCCACCATAACCACCCCACCCCTGAAACTCGACTGACAGAAATTACCAATATGAAAGGACAAGGTTTTAAAAAACCAACAAAAAAACAAACAAACAAACAAAAAACAAAAACCACCTCAGCCTGGTACTTGAAAAAGATGCAGATTTACATTACAGGTAAATAAAAATAAAAATAAAAAAATCAATACAATTCTGAGCTGGTTCACTGGGTTACACGGCCACAGCCCTTCATCTGGTCTTCTGCATGCAGAACCTCTCTTATTGACTGGGAACATCAGCAACAGTTTTGCATTTATTCTATAGAGACATGTGGATTGTGTCGCAGTGGCGCGGGTGCCCGGGACAGAGGTAAGTTTTCAAACCATACTAAAACAATCTAGCTACTTACGTTTGGACAGCGCCAAAGCACTCCTGGCACCATAACTACACTACAGCGTGCTGAAATGGTTTTGGTGCTTTTGAGTGTTCTTTTAAAAAACAAATGTAACAAAACTGTAATACTTACAAATATTTTGATTACATAGTTACATAGCTGAAAAGAGACTGTCCATCAAGTTCAGCCTTCCTCACATTTGTTTTTTTGCTGTTGATCCAAAAGAAGGCAAAAAAAACCAGTTTGAAGCACAATTTTGCAACAAGCTGGGAAAAAAATTCCTTCTTGACCCCAGAATGGCAGTCAGATTTATCCTTGGATCAAACAGTTATTACCCTACATTGAAAGATTATATCCTTGAATATTCTGTTTTTGCAAGTATGCATCTAGTAGCTGTTTGAACATCTGTATGGACTCTGATAAAACCACTTCTTCAGGCAGAGAATTCCACATCCGGATTGTTCTTACAGTAAAAAAAACCTTTCCTTTGCCTTAGACAAAATCTTCTTTCTTCCAGTCTAAACGCATGGCCTCGTGTCCTAGATTTCCACACAATGGTTTGTATTGGCCCAGAACATATTTGTATAATGTTATCATATCCCCTCTCAGGCGACGTTTTTCTAAACTAAATAGGTTTAAATTTGTTAACCTTTCTTCATAGCTGATATGTTCCATTCCTTTTATTAATTTTGTAGCCTGCCTCTGCACTTTTTCTAGTTCCATAATATCCTTCTTTAGAACAGGTGCCCAAAATTGCACAGCATATTCAATATGGGGTCTTACCAGTGATTTATAAAGAGGCAAAATGATATTCTCGCCCCGAGAATGAATGCCCTTTTTCATGCATGACAATACCTTACTGGCCTTGGCCACTGCTGATTGACATTGCACATTGTTGCATAGTTTGTTGTCTATAACAATTCCCAAGTCCTTTTCGTGTGTTGTTATCCCTAATTCGCTTCCATTAAGGGTATACGTTGCTTGTGTATTCTTTACGTGAAGTGCATAACTTTGCATTTTTCAACATTAAATTTCATCTGTCATTTAAGTGCCCAGTCCCCCAGTCTATCTAAATCCCTCTGCAGCGAAGTAATATCTTGCTCACATTGCAGATGACACAAAACTTTGTAAAATAATACAAACACTGAAACATGACTTTCAAAGCGGTCTTCAAGATAATTTATAAACATGTTAAATAGAAGGGGTCCCAGAACAGACACCTGAGGGACACCACTTGCCACCTCTGTCCAGCTTGAAAATTTACCATTAATGACAACTCTTTGTACTCTGTTTTTAAGCCAATGTTCTACCCAAGAACAAGCATTTTCATCTAGACCAATTTCCTTGAGTTTGAACACTAATCTATTGTGTGGAACTGTATCAAATGCCTTGGCAAAATCCAAATAGATCACATCCACGGCAACACCCTGATCTATACTTCTGCTTACTTCTTCGTAGAACGCAATCAAGTTAGTTTGACATGACTTGTGCTTCATAAAACCGTGCTGATTTTTGCTGATAACCATGTTCTTCTCATGTTTGTCTTATATTTGTAAAAGTGTTACTATGTTTATGTTTTTTTTAAATTTAAAAAACATTAATCCAAGGTATTTGTCCTGCTAAAATACTAGAAATACAAAAAATAAAATAAAAGTGTATTTGTTGGGTTTGGCATTTTTCCACTTTTTTTCAAATATACTTAAAGCGGCACTGTCATGCCGAACTTACCTTTCCTCAATCTCTTCCTCTTCTCCCCCTCTCTCAGGATCTGTTCTTCATTTCTTCCTGTCTTCTTTAGTTTTCTTTAAAATCATAAGACAAAGTAGGAACTCTTTGCCTTATGGAGGATTCCTCCGCTTGACCAGCTCTGACCAGCGGAGGAGCAAAGTGTGCTTCATTTCCGCTGGTCAGAGCAATTTTCCCATGATCCCTAGCTTTCCTCAGTGTTCCCACAATGCTTCCTGTCATTTTACATGAAACTGCCGAATTGCGTTCAAACTGAATGACAACAGTATGTTCGTTTCTTTTAGAACGCAATTCGGCATTTTATTCGGATCGGAATTTCATTCTAATGAATGAAACTCTGATCCTATTCATTGCCGCGGCTGCATTTTGCAGCCGCTTAGTAGATAACTCCCTAATTCCCACGGTATCAGGGAGCTATCTACTAAAAGACTGAAAGACCTAAATTGGTCTAACAGCCAACTTTACTAATACTAAGTAAAGATTACTTAGTATTAGTAAATAATATGCCCCTACTCGCTATATCGCGAGTAGGGGCATGTGTAGTAAGCAGTGAGCAGCTTATAGCTGCTCACTGTAAAAAAACAAATAAATAAAAAAACTAATAAACCCCCCCCCCCCATATGCCCGTGGGGGCCCTAAATAAAGATGGGGGGGAACCTACTGGCCCCCCCCCCTGCGCGGTGGGTGGGG